ACCTGGACGAACACGTGAGGTTGAGCCTGCATGCCCGAACGGGAAAGGGCTTGCGCTCTCCTCCACCACGCGATGCACGCTAAAAGATGACGTAGCGCACTCCGCAGCCGGCGGGCGGACCGCTTCTGCTGCTGCTGCTAGCGCACCCTCGTTCGTCACTGGCCTTCTCAACAATCATTCACATTGTGATTCGTGATTGAAGATTTTAACCTTCGTCAATCGTGAATTGTGCATGTACCTACAGGCGACCCCGTGGAGAAGCGAAGCGCCATGCGACAGCTTGCACATGAATTCGCTGTGGCGTGTCTGCTGCACGCAGCAAGATGCCGACTGCCAGCAAATTTCAAATTCAGATCGGCAGTTGCGGTTATAGCAGCCTGGCCGCTGTGGTTCATCAGCATCCCGCTCTCTTCTTCTCACGAACGCCGCTTCATCGGATGCAGAGCCGACGCGGCTTCTGATCATAGAGTTTAGAGGAGAGAGACGACCTTGACTCCGTCCCTTCCCCGCTCTCCAACGCCGAAGACAAGTGACCTCGACAAGTTGTGAACGTGAACAGAGCTCATCGCCACTTCCACTTGAACCAGGGGCTCTGGTGTTATGACGTCGGCCGACGCAATCCGCTGCAAACGCTTGCGCCACACGCCCTAGAAGCGAGCTCGCCGGTGCTCTTGCTCTTTACTATGAGCATCGTGGCTCTCCAGCATGGTCAACCGTAATTCGCTTGTGCGAATGACGTCGCTGACTGCAACGCAGGGACCGCTTGCAAGTTCTCACAACCCTGCTAGCTTACATGTAGGCTTGTGATTCAAGCCACATGCCATGGTCGGCAAATTATCGAGACTGGCAAGCTTCGCGGCTTTGGGGGCAGGATCATGAGCCTGCAGGATCTAAAATCTCGCTTATCATTGCACCCTTTGAGACCATGGTGTCGCTTGCTGGCGCCAGAAGATGCGGACCAGCCGGACGCGGCGATGGCTGATTGGCTGCATTCATCATCGCTTCAGATCTAGGATCAGGACACTCCGATCGGTTTGGCTGCGTGACGTCGAATGTTGCTGCTGCCAAACCACGATCGTGAATGTACAATACATAGTCTTGAGTCGTGAGTATTTCATTGTTGTGCACTCGAGAGAATGCTGGTACACTGCGGCAACTCATCAGGAACGTGGTCCAAAAGGTAAAAGCAAATGAACACGACGGGATCACACGATGCTTGTCTGCATCATCTGTGGCTTCGGATCCAAGCATGCGGATCTTGACTCGTGAATCAAATGTGTGGAGGTGTGCGCGAACCTCGGTCCAATTTCTAATCTTTCTTGATCCCTATTGTCATCGCGCGCTGGTCGTACATCACACCTACACGACGAGGAGAGCGCTCAGAGTCACAGTGCGATCACGCGTAGCCAACGGGGCTTTTCACGATGGATGCTGATACACGGCGCAGTCATTCTGATTTTCTTGTACCATCGTGAGTATACGCACAGATAGGATGAAAAGTCAAACCGGGTACGTTACTTAAAGAGCAACACTACCAGGCATGCTCGACGTGTGGGCAAATGTCCGAGCGTGATTCACGGACACAGAGGAGTGTTGTGGTAGGCTCGAGAGAGCGCAGATGCTACTCAGGCTGCAGGTGACCAGGACTCTCAGACTGCAGGTGATCAGGACTGAGTGCTACTAGTACTGTCGAAGGAGAACTTGGCGAACGTAGACTGGGTCGCTTGGCTGAGCGGTCCACATGTCATCACACCGACACGCCATTTCTGACCGCTCGCTTCGCACGAGGCCTCGTCTTGAAATGTCGCTGGCTTGACAAATCCTCTGATCTCGCGAATCTGCACAAGCTCAGAGGCTTGGGGTCGAAGGGGCAACTCTGACGCTTGATGAACTGCTTCAGAGTATGCGATCGACACGCTCAGATCAGGTCCATGTCTGGCCACCTGAACGTAGAGCCAATTTTGCTTCGAGAGCCCGACTGATGGCTTGGAAGGTGCCGTGGACCAATCAGAGTATGGGTTGGCAACAACGCAGCTATCGGGTGCATACCAGGTGTCTCGTCGTCAGATTGATTGCCCAGTGCCATTGCACGCGACGAGGCAGAAACTTCTTAGACCACCCCGCTCACCCGACATTTTCCCGTCCCTCGTCAAATTCGACGCCTGCTTTCGTCCAGCTCGTGCTAGGCTCTCCGATGGTCTCACCAGCGTGCACGAACAGAGTAGCCTGCTTGAACCTTGCAAGGCGGCGAGGAGCAGGCTTGAGCTGGCGTTCGCCCGTCGCGCCTTTGCCCATATGCGCATTCACAACTCACCTCTCATCCATCTCACACTGCAGCCATACCCCCGCTGTCCAAC